ATGCTATGACAACTGGGATCAAGTAATTGAGAGAAATTTATCTTATATATTTGAGAATTGAATCTGTAGTGGTTGACAAGTGAATAAGGCAAACCAATAATATTCATAAATAAAATAAATTTTTAGTCATATATTTGCTACCACTTTCATATTTTAACTATATTCTGTATTAAATGACTCGTTCGGTGAGTGGATATCCTCCAGCAGACCAGACCAGAGAGGAGATCAGCTCACGACGTGATCGAGTAAAGACGTGTTTTATCTCTGCTTAGCAATGCCGCATAACCGAACAGCTCGCTGCGGAAAGGTGTTTCCGCCTGGCCGCCCGAGGACTCCAGAATCAGCTGAATCAGATGGCGAATACACAGAACTTATTTCTTACTCTTCGATAGAAGAAGCATATGAAGCCAACAATTTTCCAGCGAGATTCATACCACCAAATAGACCCATAAACCTCAATGATTTCTACCTCAACTTTAACATGGAAGATAATCTAATACTACAAAACTTACATCGGACAGTTTTCAACAGCTGTGAATGTGGAAAAGTCAAAGGTGTACTTAGTTTTAGAATTAAACTTCTACAAAGAGCCTATGCCGAACTCGAGAAAAGAAAGGAACAGGAGACAGTCAAGGAAATCATCACCCCTGATCCCGAGTCTACCACCACTGAACCCGAGATAACACACTCCCCAGAGGAACAGAAAACAGAACTTAGTATAGGGACTTCGGCCCCAGATACTAACACAATCATCGAACCTCCAGCCAAAAAGAGGAAGAAGAAGAAAACCAAAGACAAACCAGCAAAGCCCGACAACAACGCTTCCGATTCCCCTCCACTGCCGGAGAACTCTACTGAGATCCTCGAAGAGCCCACCACCCAAGCCATGGAGACCTCACCCACCGACGAAAAAGTCCCATTTGTAAAGAATGAAAAAGTGCTCATACGTGGACTACCAGTAGACTTTAGCATAGATGAAATTTCACTTGAACTAGGAAAATCTAACATTGAGATTTCCAAAGTCGTACAATTCAAGAGAAAAGTGGGAGGAGCCTATAGGCCACTCCCCATCTTCCTCGTAGTCACTCCCCTGCTGGCCAATCAGACAAAGATATATCATATAGAATGCCTCAAACAGATCCCGATAGCAGTAGAGAAATACAGAGGAGGAAGAAGACCTACCCAGTGCTTTAAATGTCAGAATTATGGACACACTCAACGAAACTGCACCAATGAAGCCAGATGCATGAAATGTGCCGAAGGGCACTTTTCATATCAGTGCACGAAGAGCCGTGATACCCCAGCTACCTGCTGCAACTGTGGAAAGAGCCACACATCTAACTTTACTGGGTGCGAGGCCCGCCCCAGTAAAAAGAACTTTCAGACCAGAGCCAAGACTCCAGCTACAACAGCCCACCGTCTCGTGACACTCATAAAAGAGCTACAAGATCTAATGAAAAACCAAGAAGTGCTGTGCCTTCTGCAAACTCTCATGAAGGGGATCTCCCCTTCCAACTGATGTTCCATGATACTTCAAACAACGCCCCACCCCTGCAAAGATGTGAACCTGAACTCCTATTTTACCTCCCAAGGATTAACTTAGGACTTTCTAGATTACGACATCACAGTTTAGATGAATCAGTTAGCGGCGCTTCGCGCCGAATACTGAGATTTTCAACATTTCCAACGTTCCAACAACGAGTGGATATCCTTCACAGTGGTCTGATCGGACTAGCTACAAAAAACCGTGTGGAGGCTTTCAGTTATAGGAGGCGTTACCACAATTCGACCTCGAACAAACTCAGACACGTGCTGGTAAGCATTTCTCTTTCTTACACGAGACATAACAAAAACTTTTTTACCCGAGAACAACGCTGAAATTCAATTTCTGCGTGAGAAACTTACAGTCAAATATCTTCATTTACACACATTGTAGGTGTCGCAACCGTCGCCTGCTTTGCATGAATGCGCTGATAAACTAATCATTAGCATACCACAACATGCTTTATCAGTCCTGCAAATTTCACGTTCGTGGTGTGTCGCCTGCCTGGTGCAGCAATTTTAGTAGCCAGTGGTGTAGTTATGGGATCAGAACTTATTACACTGGGTAAAAAAAATGTTCCAGTACGATGTGAAATTTTTAGAGGAGCTTGAATATTTTGTAGGCACTGATTTCAAATCCGGAATCGTTTTCTCTCAACAAGTTACAGTTTTATTGCAACTCAGTAATATATTACTCAACTGGTTCTTTTAAAATTCACTCCAATAAAGGCTAAATAGCGCCACCTCTATACTGCGTTGGATATGGTAGGAAAAAAACTATATTTATTTTAGGATGCGATACGTTAAAGCCGTATTTTTTTTCCGTTTTCAGTGCTATTTTCAAAGGAGAAGACAAGTGCATATGTTTCAATATAATCTTATACATTCCTTATAAATTTGTACATTCAAACAAAAAAAATAAACTAAGCCAAAAATACCATCATGAAAAATCAAAATTAGTGGCTTTCCGAACAAAACGAATTTAGTAACGAATTCTAAAACAAAACAAAACGAAGCTATATTCTTTATATGATGCGATGCGTTGAGGTCATTTTGTTTTGTTTTGTTTTTTTCCGCTTACAATGCTATTTTCAGCGAAGAAGACAAGTGTATATGTTTAAGCATAACCTTATAGGTTCCTTATAAACTTTTACATTCAAACAAAAAAATTAAATTAAACCAAAATATTATAATGAAGAAAAAAAATTGTGTAGCTTTCCGAGCAAAACGAATTTTGGTTTTGAAATCAAACGCATATTAGGTTAGGTCAAGTACACTGATAAATGCCACAAAAAAATAGGTACCTTCAAAAAATTTTATTTATATTTTGGTTTGACACAACAATTTGTATTTTGATCTGACTCTGTTGGAATTATTTGAGGAGGTTATACTTTTTAATTGATTCTTCTACTTTTTTTTCTAGCATGGTGTCTGAAAAGTGAACAGGTGCAGTGCGTCCTTCTTGGAGCTCTGTCTGTGGAAGCTTTATATGACCAACTTCAAGCCTTGCAGGTGAGATATTTGAAAGATTTAATCCAATATCATGTTAATTAAGATAATAGCAGTGATGGACAGGGCTGAGAGCAAGACGGAAAAGGGTCGAACCATTTCATTTATTGTTGGTTTTCAGGAGGAATTAAAAAATCTTTGACGATTCTTAGTTATATATTATTCATCACTACTTCATTTTTCTCACGTTAGAAACAGACTTGAGTCGTCCGGAACGTTTGTGCCGATTTTGAGGGTCCCTCCAAAGGTCTATCAAAACTTTTAAAGTATTAGCAAAATTTATATTATAAAATTCCATTTTATCCCATTTTTAAAGATGAATCTTTAAATTTTCTTGATCACAAAGATTTGGAAACTTATTGGATATATAGAAGTCTGTTGCCCGCCAGGCATATATTATCTGAATTGAAGCAGTTGCAAAGTCAGGAAGCCTAATAGTAGTTTACTACCACTAGAATAATTTTTGGTGAACCTATCGCGTCGAGTCAACGCCTCCTATAACTGAAAGCCTCCACAAGGTTTTTAATAGGTAGTCCGATCAGACCATTGTGAAGGATATCCACTTTCCGAACGAGTCANATGATAATGGAAGGGATTAAAAGTTGGCAGGTATGGGTTTTTAATAGGTAGTCCGAACAGACCACTGTGAAGGATATCCACTTTCCGAACAGGGGTGAAAGCGAGACGGAAAAGAGGAAAGGCTGGTAGTAAAACCATTTCATTTATAGCTAGTTTTGGGGAGGAGTTTGCTTATTCTTTTTTTAAATGTTTCAACAATATTTACTTTATCTTACTCATACTCATATGTGTTGGTTATCTTAGCATCAGCCCCGCTAGGAGCTCCAACTAATTCATCTGAGTGGACTTTATCTTGGAAAAGAAGCAGTTTTATATATATGCCAGAATTATAAAAGAAATCTTGATAGTTACAGATATTTCATTTTTTTCGAAAAAAATGCTGGAATGAAATGTTTCACGTACCAGGTTTTTCTCTTTTCCGTCTTGCTATATAAGGGCTTTCACCCATGTTTCCGAACGAGTCACTTAATACAAAATATAATACTAGTTAAAATAAGAAAGTGGTAGCAAATATATGACTGAAAATTGTTTTTATTTATAAATATTATTGGTTTTCCTTATTCACTTGTCAACCACTACAGATTCAATTCTCAAATTTATAAGATAAATTTCTCTCAATTACTTTCATAAAAGGTTTTGGGTTCATGCGCGCAACTAGTTCACTTTTTAAATAGTCTGCGCGGACTACATAAAAAGACAGTGTGGGGGCTTTTTGATGAGGGAGGTGATGGCCGAGCTAACGAAAATTAGCATGAATATTAATTATGTTATAACTGTCAAAAAAAAATCTTCGTTTTTATGGATATTTTACTTTTTCTGAATGCATGGTGGAAATGAAATGTTTCACTACCATATTTCTGATTCATATGCATAAATTTTCATTTCTGGTGATGTATAATGTAGTAAAAGATTGACAGAACGTCTTTTGTTAATTTCTCAATTTAACTATTATTCTATAACGACCTCTTAAAATTAACTTAATCAGGAATATTTATTTTATGGAAGTTTTTCCGGAACACAAATGCCTCCCAGGCCGAGTGGTATCGCTCGCTAGACGCTGTGCAAAGCGTTTAAGTGGCGGGTTCGCATACCGCCGCAGGCTTGGGTGTATTCTTCGTGATGTCCTTCTCTGAAATGTTCCATCTATCCTTCTATTTCACAAGAGTTTTAAAGCCTAAATTTAATTGACCTTCAGTAACAGCAGTGATGAGATATTAAATCGGTGATATTGAGGACTGTTGTTGTTGACTATTTGATATAAATGGGCTGAAATCCTTAAATTCACTGAAAATAGCTTAAAGCAACCTTAAAACTACTGCAGTCGATGACGCCAATTCAAAGTGTACTACTTTGGGCAGTCAAAAGAACAGTACCGTATGAATCGAACTCTTTTCTCTTCTCTCAGAATATGATCTGAACGTGTATGACCAACGCCTCCTATAACTGAAAGTCTCCACACGGTTTTTTTAAAGGTAGTCCGATCAGACCACTCTGAAGGATATCCTCTTTCCGAATGAGTCATTTAATACGAAATTTAGTTAAAATAAGAAAGTGGTAGCAAATATATGACTAAAAATTTGTTTTATTTATGAATGTTATTGGTTTGCCTTATTCACTTGTCAACCACTACATATTCAATTCTCAAATATACAAATATACATTCTCAAATATAAAAGGTTTTGGGTTCATGCGCACAACTGGATCACTTTTTAAGCAGTCTGCGCGGACTACTTATAAAAGACCGTGTGGAGGCTTTTTGATGCAGGAGGTGATGGTATGACTCACATTTACCCACCTATGACACCTAGCCATCTAAATAAAGAACCTTTACGTTCTGAGCACAAATTCAAGCTATCTAGATGCAGTAGAGCCTCTGAATAAACTAATCAGCAATCACTATCCAGAGCATGCACCACCACCACCTTTTCGAAAAGCGACGCTGTTACAAAGGAAAAAATCTGACTTATCACTTTTCGAAAATCTTCTCTCACTAAATAATAATAGTAACAGCGTCAACGATATTAACACGCTGAATGCCATGCTAATTTTACATGGCTTGCCCGACTGGCCAAGCGGTAAATAACTACAAACTAAATTTGCAAATATTAGACAGAAATTGCTAGTTTTTTAAAAGGTTCAGCATGACTTAAAAACTGGTGAATTATATAAACCTACAAATTGTTTAGAAATAGTGGTGGATAAAAATCTGCTAAATTGAATTTATTAAACCAAGAATCACAATTAATAAACCACCACTTGAAAATATTTATTCGCTGTCCCTAGCAAGTCGACATCTCTGTATATATAAATAAAACTATTTTTGTGTGTTCTATATTGCATCAATCTCATCCAACCATTTTAGTAACGATAATAATAATAAAATTAATACAAATTTACTCGAATTATGTGTTTCTAATAATCTTGGCTTCGCCGGTCACAGGTGACCCCCATGGAATTAAACGTGTTAATAATGAAGTGAACATTTTGACCAACGATATACAAGTTGCTACTGAAGAAGCCATTGAAGAAATGACAATCAAAAACGACTACTACAAACTGTCTCAACACATCAAAGACTTAATTAAGGCGAAAAACCACACGAAAAACTACAGTAGACAAACTCTTGATAAAAGTGTCAAAAATGTATTAAATAATCAAATCAAAGAAATTAGATATAACACTCTCAAACAGAAACAAAAATGATAGGGATTTGAAAATAGTCAGTTTTAATGTACAAGACAACACTGTCTCAAAAATTATTAAATCCCTAAAAATCGCTAATTATTAAATTGTTAGGGATCATTAAAGATTACTAAGGACACTTCCTATATCTACTTTACCACTTAATACTAATAATGGTAAGATTTATATCGATCCCTCTTAACCATCACCTCCTACACCAAAAAGCCTCCACACGATCTTTTATAAGTAGTCAGCGCAGACTGCTTAAAAAGTGAACCATGAAACCAAAACCTTTTATGAAAGTAATTGAGAAAAATTTATCATATATATTTGAGAATTGAATCTGTAGTGTTTGACAAGTGAATAAGGCAAGCCAATAATTTTCATAAATAAAACAAATTTTTAGTCTTATATTTGCTTCCACTTTCTTATTTTAACTAGATTTTGTGTTAAGTGACTGGTTAGGAAAGTGGATATCCTTCACAGTGGTCTGATCGGACTACTTACAAAAAACCGTGTGGAGGCTTTCAGTTATAGGAGGCGTTGTCTTAACTCCATGAACCCTACCTATTCTCAAAATTATAAAGAAACTGGACAAGATCCAGAACAGGACAAAATAAACAATAAGCTCATAAAACTTCTACGCAACAAAAAACGGTTAAAATATTCTCTGTCTCCTGTATTTACGTTAGCCGTCCGAGAAAGTTCCCTCTAGCAAAGTAGGAAAGCTTAACACTTTGCAGTCGAGAGGTGACTGTCAGTCGCCACTGTCGCCCGTAAATTACCCACCACTTTAATTGTGAATTTTATTTTCATCTTAATGTTTAGTTACCACTTCAATCAGTAGTCTCCGGTTATTATGAGGCAAGTTTGTAAAAACTCTTTTAAAATGATAGTGGTTGCGTCCATTTTTTGACTGTTAAAAGGACTTCGAGCGCAAAGGGTTAAAGCACAAATAAACAGACTATTTGAAAGTTCACAAAAGGCATAGTGTCGGATGAGTATTCAAAATTCCATTTCCAAGGAATGCGGCTATAATAGTAACCATGGAAAGTTGCGACCTGTGACCATAGTCTTCTATTTTTAAAAAATTTTGTGGGATAATCTCACTTATTTGAGAAAGAAAATAAATAAAGGGCTATGGTAATCAACATAAAATATTTAATAGTAGATCATTTAAAGTTAATTTATTTAATTCTCAATGCGAATTATAGCCTCGACATCACAGTCACTGTTTTCTGCGTATATTTCCTGAAGTGGATGCAAAACATTGCAAGGTTTCATAATATTCATCATGGTTAAAATTACAAAGTATTTAATATTTTACCAGAGTCGCGGTGGCTCAGGAGATAGAGCGTTCGCCTCCCAATGAGATGACCCAGGTTCGGAGTTCAGTTCTCGTACATCCCAGCAGTGGTTGGTTGATACTAATTCAGCTTCCGGCTCGCACTGACCACAGTGCTGACGTAAATTATCCTCAGTAGTAAAAGGATCGTAGATTAGGAACACCTTGCTGTTGGCCATATCGTGGTTCTTCTCGGCGTAACGCAAATGCGAATTAGTTCCATCAAAAAGTTCTCCCCGAAGACAAATAGTCCTAATTAGGACTGGGCGATATTAGAAATTATATATCGTGATATATCGTCAGTTTTGCATCGCGATATAGCGATGTATCGCGATATANTGTTTCCTTGTCTTCTGGATTGGGTTCAAAGTTTGAACTACGTATGCCATGCATATTT